GAGAAACAGGCTGAATAAGAGTTCACCCCCACCCCAGCTTAGGATGTTGGGGTACCACTCTCTGATGCTTTTCCTGAAATGGATGGGGTGGCGGCATTAATCAGAAGGTGCTCACTGGTGAGGACGCTCTGAGCCCAAGTGACAAAATAAATGTGCATCAATCGCAGACAGCAGCTGGCCCACACTCTCCAAATTTTCAGAAAAGGAAGGGATAAAATCAGCACCGGGTGCTCGTGAGCTCTGCCTGCCCCAGGAACACAACAAGGGGGTTGACACACATGGCCCAGCCACCTCAGGCCGGCAGGTAGACTGGACTTAGTTCAAGGCCAGCAGAAGAGGAGAATCTTTTGAAGAAAAGGCAGTAGGATGTTTCCAAGAAATAAAATCACATATAAGTGGCAAGAGAATAACAGGAACCCTTATATGTAATCCGTGGCCTTTTAAAGGCTGATGTTCATTCAGGAATGTTCTAACAGCTATCACTTATCAAAGACTTAAGTGCCAGTCAACTTGCTGAGCATTTCGCTGACCGTGTCTCATTTAATCCCCCACAAATAACCCATGAGATTATAAATACCATCATCATTCCCATTTTACAGATGAGCAAACTGAGTCTCAGAGGAGTTTGAGTAAATTTTCCCAAGGCCACGAAGCTACAAAATGACAGAAGTCAGAATGTGAGCCCAAATGTGTCTGATTCCAAAAGCTATGTTTGTTTTGAGACAGGGTCTCCCTCTGTCGCCCAGGCTTGAGTGCAGTGGCACAATTACAGCTCACTGCAGCCTTGACCTCCCAGGTTCAAGCGATCCTGCCACCTCAGCCTCCCAAATAGCTGTGACTAGAGGTGCATGTCACCACACCTGGCTCATTTTTGTATTTTTTGTAGAGATGGGATTTCACCATGTTGCCAAGGCTTTTCTCAAATTCCTCGGCTCAATTGATCCTCCTGCCTCAGCCTTCTAAAGTGCTGGGATTACAGGTGTGAGCCACCAGACCCAGACAAGCTATGTTCTTTCTACTATGTTGTACAGCCAGGAAAAGTATGCATCAAGTGACAGATTAAACTAGATGACCTTGTAGGCTTCCTTGTTTTTAAAAACTTGAGTCACCAAGAGGTTAACGTGGTGTTAGTGGTTGTGGCATGGAACGGGAGATGTGCATTATGACAGCGAAGTATCAAGCATGGGATCACCAGGATCAGGGCTACAATTCTTCTTATTTCACCTTTTACAAATATCCCAAAGAGAATGCACAGTGAAACAGTCAGGGCTGCCTTAAGCTCAGACTTCCAGCTGGGCGCAGTGGCTCACGCCTGTAATCCCAGCACTTTGAGAGGCCAAGGCAGAGGATGGCTTGAGCTCAGGAGTTCAAGACCAGCCTGGCCAACATGGCAAAACCTCATCTCTACTAAAAATATAAAAATTAGCCAGGTATGGTGGTGGGCACCTGTAATCCCAGCTACTGGGGAGGCTGAGGCATGAGAATCGCTTGAACCTGGGAGGTTGCAGTGAAGTCAAAATCGTGCCACTGCACTCTAGCCTGGATGACAGAGTGAGACCCTATCTTGAAAAAAAAAAGAAAAAAAAAAGGTTCAAACTTCCCCATTGTGACCTTGGCCAAACGAACTCACCTCTCTGTCCCTCAGTTTCCTCAGGTGCAAAATGAGAAAAAGTACAGATCATATCCTAGAGGATAATTTGGACCTTTAATGAGGGAATGCATTTTTTTTCCAGAAGTGCCTTGATTTTTTTAAGAGTCGCCAAGCTCCTCTTTCCTAGAGATTCTGATTCCCCAGGTCTGAGAGAGGAAACAGTGAGAAAATGCATGTTGGATACTAAGCACTGTGCCTAGCAAAAGTGCACAATAAATGCTGACCTGAAAAAAAAGTAGACACCAAATCCCGGGCAGTGAAGAGCCAAATCTATAGGAAAATTATAGGGAAGAGTTTATGCAAATGTGGGGGGAATACAGTAAATTTTAACATCAACAAGGGCAGTGTAAGAGATGTAAGAAAAAAATCAAAACCATGCAAGAGCTCTATGGAAACAGTCACACCCGGTAAAGAGAACTGATGTCACTGTGGAACGCACTGTCATCTACAGCGGCCATGAAGGCCAAAAAGGAAAAAGACATTTTGTCCAGTGCCACTGCAAAAGCACTAAAACAAAAAGAAGCACACTGCCCACCCCCACCCTATAAAACCAACTGCATTGGGAACACTGGTTATTGCCCATCAAGAAAGATGAGGCCAGGTATGGAGGCTCACACCTGTAACCCCAGCACTTTGGGAGGCTGAAGCAGAGGATGGCTTGAGCTCAGGAGTTCAAGACCAGCCTGGGCAACACAGGCAGACCCCATCTCTACAAAAAATACAAACATTAGCCAGGCGTGGTAGCATGTGCCTGTAGTTCCAGTTACTCAGGAGGCTAAGGTGGGAGGATCACTTGAGACTGGGAGGTAGAGGCTGCAGTGAGTTGTGATCGCGCCATGCATTCCAGCCTGGACAACAGAGTAAGACCCTGTCTCGGGGTGGGAGGCGGGAAAAAAAAGATGACTGATAAGGCCAGAGGACCGCTAACCTAAATGTGCTGTGTGACAGGGAGGGCAAGCTAAGAAGGCAGTGCTCTTCAGGACAAAGGATCAAGGACAGGAGGGCCCCAAGAGAATCCACCAAGTAGGAGAGAGGAGTAGAATGCCAACTTGGTCACCAAATACTGAAATGACAGAAAAGGGAGGCCCCGCTAACATCAGCTGGAAACCAGAGAGGGAATGCTAGAATACCCCAATGAAGGCAAATAAAGTGCATACTGTATTTGGACAGTGAATGAATGCACGAGTGGGGTCGCCCTAGGGTCCAACTAGCACTGCTTCATAACAGACTGCATGGAGATCTGAGGTTGAATGCATGTAAAACCGTGAAGGCCGCAAAGGGGCCTCTGCCTCTCCTCACCCAGGTGGCAGGGACACCGGCCCACAACTGGCCGCAAAGCTGTCTTCAGGAGGGCCACAGCCACTCCCTCCCTTGCCACACTGGCTCCTAAATGCATGGGTTTGATCTGATAGGATTAACTCTCATGTTTTCCACGAGTTCTGTAGAGAGCTAGAGATGAAGGCCAGAAATGTAAATAACAGAGGCACACGCCATTCTTCTGTAATTAACATAAACTGCTAATAACGGCCACGTGGCAGCATTCTAGATGCCTTTAAAGAACATGCTTCCAAATGCCTCACACTTTGCTTGAGTGTTTAGGCCACACTGGATTACAAAGGCAGCCTGGAGAAGAACCGCAGGTGCGGTGAAGGTCTCCAGGCCAAATGAACTGAGTTTAGAATTTCCCATCCAGAGTCCACAATGGGCTGCCTGTTCAGCCTGTGATTCTTTTCCACACAACCACTATCAACATACGGGTCAAAGTCCTCAGGGGTTGGGGGGCGGGGACCAGGCAGAATTAACTAGGAGGCCCAGAAGAGCCTTTCCCAACACCAACCCTTCCCACAGACCAGCAACGGTATGTGCGACCTGTGAGGCCAGTGAGCACTCACCTAACACACTCTAAATTCTGCCCCCTCGTCTTCAAATAACTGCTTCATGTCTGAGCACAGGGCAGGCATTCCCCAGTCTACAGTAACTCTAAGCGAGGAACTGACCCCATGATGCGTCTTTGTTAGAATGTACAATTCAAGAACCCTATGGCCCAGCAGTTCCACTTTCTCGGTACCTACCCTACGGAAAACTCACAGGTGCTATAGAGGTCTGTGCAGCCATGTTTTTTGGTAACAGCGTTTTTAACAGTAAAGGATCTGGAAATGACTGACGTGCCCATGAATTAGGGAAAGGTGAAGTAATTGTGTAGCCTTCTAACTGTAAGGGAGACCGGGCAGGAGTTAAACAAAATCAAGACCTTTGTGTAGCGGCCGAGAACTATCGCCAACCACCCTGTTGAGGGAGGGAGAGGCAATTCAGTAAAGAGACCTTATGTAATCCGCAGCCAATGCACTTAACTTTCTGTAAGTCCTAGAGGTATAGATGTACGTGAGGCATCTGAAGAACAGCAAGTCCATGAAAGTGCTCGACCTCTGGGGAAGGGACTGGGATTAGAAACAGTCATCAAGAAAGACTTTCTGCTTGCTCGAGAAGTTTTGCATTCTTCCCCTACGGAGAATGTGTTCATGTACTAACTTGCGCAACGAAAATTTCATTTAAATTTTTTTTTTAAAAAAGAAAAGAAACAGGCCCTGTTCAATGCATTTCAATAATATGTTAGGGGGCAATTTCACCCTGAATCTGGCCCACGCTTCCCAGGGGCTGTGAGCTCGGCAGTGCACATCTGCGTTTCCAGTCAGCAGTGGGCTTTGCAGCACAGATCCTGTTTCAATATTGTAAGCCCAACTCTGCAACTCTGTGGATTGTTAAATTTATATGCTAGTTCAAGGAAAAGGCAGGGAAAAAAGAGAAAGTATGTCAATGGGACTTCTGGTCATTAAAAGGGATGTCCTAGGAGTAATTCCAGTTCTTCTAACCCAGCACTGCAGCACTCCAACACAACACACACGTTTCCTAATAAGCCAGCCCTTGCCCAATCACACTTCCTCCACACCAGGCCTAGCTGCCTGTGGTTTTGACTCTTTCAGCTGGGAATCAGGATTCCTAACATAAATCCAAATCCCCTGAGCTAATGAGAAAAAAGAATCTGAACATCCCATTGCACAAAGTCTAATAAAACATTATTATTCACTCACTGGGGACTCCTAACTATATAGGATACTGCTTTTTAAACACAGACACGCACCCCCTCCCCCTCCTCAAAGCACCACCTATACAGTAATTAGAAACACAAAATTGGCTGTGCACAGGTAGCTCATGCCTATAATCCCAGCACTTTGGGAGCCCAAGGTAGGAGAATCACTTAAGGCCAGGAGTTCGAGACCAGACTGAGCAACATAGTGAGACTCTGTCTCTACAAAAAATTTAAAAATTAGCCGGGTGTGGTGGTGCCTACCTGTGGTCCCAGCTGCTTGGGAGGCTGAGGTGGGAGAATGGCTTGAGCCTGGGGAGGTCAAGGCTGCAGTGAGCCGTGATTGTGCCACTGCACTCCAGCCTAGGAAACAGAGCAAGACTGTCTAAAAAAAAGAGAGAGAGAGAGAGAGAGAGAGACAAATTATAATATTTAGAACCTACCGAGCAAAACTAACTTATGGCAATAGAAATCAGATTTGTGGTACTTCTGGTTGGGGGTGGGGCTTATCTGGAAATGGTCATGAGGAACTCATCTGGGGTGATGGAAATGTTCTGTCTCCGTATGTATGTGTCGAAACTGATTAAACAGCACACTTAAGATCTGTGCTGTATGTAAATTACACCTCAATTAAAAAAATAACTCCTCACACACAGTTTCTCTCCGGCTGCAGCAGAACTCTGAGCTGTCCTATCAGACGTCGGAAATCTCTGTTGTGCTATGCAAGGAGCATGAGTACCATGGCGACAGTCACCATAAAAATAGATAACAAGATTAAAATGGACGCAGGACACATGAATTTAAGAACAGCACACCAAGAGCAATTCATTTTCAGCAGAAGAAAAATAGAGGAGAGGGAGTTTGCAATTCCTCCGGCACTCTGACAAGCAGCCACTGACTGAATGTGGTTGTTTTTACTAAGAGAGTTGTATATATGGCTTCCTGATACTCAAAGGACAAAAAAGCTGACAACTGGGTTTTTTTGTTTTGTTTTTCGTTTTCCTTTTCTTTTTGTTGCCCAGGCTGGAGTGAAGTAGCACCAGCACAGCTCACTGTAGCCTTAACCTCCCCGGGTTCAGGTGATCCTCCTCCCTCAGCCTCCCAACTAGCTACAACTGCAGGTGCACGCCACCACGCCCAGCTCATTTTTGCATTTTTTATAGAGATGGGGTTTCACCATGTTGCCCAGGCTGGTCTCAAACTGCTGGGCTCAATTAATCCTCCTACCTCAGCCTCTCAAAGCAGCTGGGACCACAGGTAGTCTCAAAGTGCTTGGATTACAAGAGTGCACCACCATGCCCAGCTGAGAACTATTATTTCTTATCATATTTTGCTTTGTCTAAAAAAAAAAGGCCGGGCTCACACATGTAATCCCAGCACTTTGGGAGGCTGAGGTGGGAGGATCACCTGAGGTCAGGAGTTCAAGACCAGCCTGGCCATCATGGTGAAACCCTGTCTCTACTAAAAAATACAAAAATTAGCTGGGCATGGTGGCGGGAACCTATAATCCCAGCTACTCGGGAGGCTGAGGCAGGGAGAATTGCTTGAACCCAGGAGGCAAAGGTTGCAGTGAGCTGAGATCACACCACTGCACTCCAGCCTGGGCAACAGAGCAAGACTCTGTCTCAAAAAAAAAAAAGGACTTCTTAGCCTAACTTTCCCCCAAACCCACTATGTAGCCCAGGGAACCAAATCACAGCAATTCAACAAGCACAGTTGATGTGACAGACACCATGTGAGGCACAAATGATACAGAGACAAAGGAGACTCAGGCCTGTCATTAAGTGTACAAAAATTTTCAACTCTAGTTCTAAATAATTAGGTCCTGCCTATGCTTTTCACATACATCTAAAACTGCCATTTGTTAAGTCACCGCACCCCAAAATTGATTCATCCCATATAAAGAGAGCACTTTCTTGCCAAATACTGATTTCTCAAATGCCAAAATGCAAGCATAAATCACGTGGAGACAAAAATCATCTTACGATATTCTCCAAAGATGAGATAAACCTCTATTCTCTTTGCAGAGCTAAGAAACTTTTGCTAAGTGATTTAGCCCTAGCAGTAACCTGCACAACAACAAAAGTAATCCAAAAATATCAGGAAGAGGAATCTAAAAGTTTTAAATAATCAGGGCAGATTCTAAATAAAGCATATATTTCAGTGAAAGTTAAGCAGAATTAAACTAAAAAAAAATTCATATGTAAGCTATAAGTAATACATACGCAAAATTTTTTTTAAAATTTAAGCCAGGAGCAGTGGCTCATGCCTGTAATCCCAACACTTTAGGAGGCTAAGGTGGGAGGATCCCTTGAGCCCGGTGGGTTGAGGCTGCAGTGAACCATGATTGTGCCACTGCATTCCAGCCTGGCAACAGAGTAAGATACTGTCTCATAAAAAAATGTTTTTAATTCAAATTACAAATGTATTGTCTGATATAAACTAAACATATGCTTTCCTGGAAAATCCCACTTTAAAACATCTTTAACTTGATCTGCCCTGTATTCTCTTTATCGCTAAACTGCAGAGCAATCAGAGGGCTCCGTCTCATCACTGGTGTCAGGATGGTGTTGAGCAAGGTGCTCCTGGGGATACAAATCCACAGTGCGGGACATGAAGTGGGAAGAGACATTCAAGGTCACTCCATGTCCTCCACGGCCAAGCAGAGGACCCAGCACCCACTAACAGCCCCCTCTTGATTTAGTCATCATCCCAAATAGAAGTGGCGTGATGATGATCCCACTATTCTTTTTTATTTTATTTTATTTTTTTTGAGAGCTGGAGTCTCATTCTGTTGCCCAGGCTGGGGTGCAGTGGCGTGATCTTGGCTCACTGTAACCTTTGCCTCCTGGGTTCAAGCGATTCTCCTGCCTCAGCCTCCTGAGTAGCTGGGATTACAGGCAAGCAACACTACGCCCAGCTACTTTTTGTATTTTTAGTAGAGATGGGGTTTCACCATGTTGGCCAGGCTGGTCTTGAACTCCTGGCCTCCAGTGATCCACCCGCCTCTGCCTCCCAAAGTGCTAGGATTACAGGCGTGTGCCACCGCGCCCAGCATGATCCCACTAACCTTCTACATGTCAATCTGTGTTGTTCATTATTATTGGCCATTTGCCCTCCTCCACCTTCTCGTTTTTCCTAAGGACAAAATTTAATTTGCAGCAGCCCTAGGGTCACAAACTGAGTTCTGACCTGACTTAAAATAGTTCTCATCCTTTCTTTGTTTCCTTTGTTTGAGTCAAGGTCTCGCTCTGTCACCCAGGCTGGAGTGCAGTGGTGCCACGATCATGGCTCACTGCTCCTGGCTCACTGCAGCCTCAAACTCCTAGGCCCAAGTGAGCCTCCAACCTCAGCCTCCTAAGTAGCTGGGATCACGGGCAGGTGTGCCATTATGCTTGACTAGTTTTTCTATTTTTTCACAGACAAGTTCTCTCTCTGTTGCCCAAGCCAGTCTTGAATTCCTGGGCTCAAGCAATCCACCCACCTCAGTCTCTCAAAGTGCTGAGGTTACAGGCGTGAGTCAATGCACTTCGCCTGTTTTTTGTTTTGTTTTTTCCATCCTTTCTAAAACGATACCAGAAGGGTCTCTCAAAAATGCTGGGACCTATTTATAAACATTTTTTAAAGAACACACTTGATGATATTGACTCAAATAGTTGCCACTGGAGGGTAAAGCCCCTATTCTATCTGTCTTTCAGCTTTGACAAGTCACATACTAAATAACTGACCCTAGAAATTGGAAGAGACTTTGGAGGTCAGCCTAATTCCTGTCCTCCTCTTCTACCGCATTCCTAATCAACAGCATTCGGCCCCACTTGAATACCGCCAACAGCGGCAAGCTCACTACTTCCTGGGCAGACATTTCCTCTGTTGGACAGATCTGCCAGTTAGAAAATCCTTTTTCATATTGAACTGAAATCTGCTGTCCCGGTTTTTCGGATTAAAGGAGACCTCAAAGTCTATGAACTTCAGCATGATCGCTGATCATTCTACAGACAAGGAATCACGTAATCATGCCATAAATGAGAAATCTGCAGCTACAGAGAATAAAGTGACTGTTCCATCTACTGGTTGTATTCCAACACCAGGAGCAAAAATGAACGTCTCCTCCTTCCTATGTCTGATAACCAGGAAAATATGTGAAGGTGCTACTGTGTACCCAAAGCATAAATGTAGTTCAGTTATTCCCTATCCTACAGCATCCCAGACGCCTTTCCAGGATCAAGTCTTGCTTGCTCATGTCCCTATTAACTCTTGGCTCTCCGGTGTCCAAATGTCACCTGACCAGCCAACGTCATTAAGACTAGATCTTATAATTAGATCGCTGAATTTCTGATCCCATTATAAACTGCATTCAATTTTTTTAAAGCTGTATCTTAGAGCTAAGCTCAGTGGCCCATGTTGGTAGACCCAGCCACTTGGGAGGCTGAGGCAGGAAGATGGCTTCAGCCTAGGAGTTCGAATCCAGCCAAGACAACATGGCAAGACTCATGACTCTCTGAAAAAAATAAAAATATAAACCAATAAAAATAAAAGCCTCACCCACTCAAGGCTCACAGTGAACTGACGAACAACAGAAAAATCCCGATGCTTTTTCTTCTCCATGCCCTGCCCCTCCTCAGTGGACCTGCGCCAACCAGCGGTCAAGGACTCTGTCTTCAACTGTGACTCTAGTTCCTAACCTTGAGCTTGACACACAGCGAGCAGGCACTCGAGATTAATCACTGAATGAATCATCTTCTTTACCCTATCTTGTCCTTGAATCATAAAAAGTTTTAAAAATTGCAGATGTCCCCACTGTGGAATATATACACAACTACAGAAAAGACAAATAATACAAACGTTTAAAAAAAAAAAAAAAGAGTTGCATGCCTCAATCCATCCAGAAGCAACTGGTATTTGTATTTTGATATTACTATTATTGATGTATTTCCTTCCAATTATTTTCTAAACACGTTGCTTTCTTAACATTTGAAAATGTAGATGTAGATGTCCCTTAACTTCTGGCGAAAACATTTTTCCCTGTTATTTGAAAGCTATTCCTAAACATTATTTTTCATAACTTCATAACATTCTATTTTAAAGACATCAGAATTCACTTATGTATTACCTCTAGCCCACACCATTGGATATTTAGGGTATTCCCAAGTTTTTACTATAGTTTTTTAAAAAATCTCTGAATAATCTCTGTGCATAATTCAACATCAACATTGTGGATATGGTCTCAGGTACATCCCCAGAAGTGGTATTATCTTATCAGGATATACGAACATCTCAGAACGCCACAATTCAAATTTGTAAACCTAAATAAGACTTTAAATTCATCCCTCACTGAGTTTTTTCCTGTTTTCTTTTTAATGCGTACCCCTAATTCTAGACGACTCT